GTTTGGTTAAAAAACATGTTTTTTTTTATACCGACAAATTACAACGCATGGTAAATGGTTGGCTTTCATTTGTCAAACTTCAAAAACAAAAAAGGAAAATATCTCAAAAACATAAACATAAAATAAGTAAATATATATCATTTTTAAAAATCAACGCCAAAAATACAAGCTCTCGCTCAATTAGCTTTGCTGTTGACCAGTGTTATTTTTGGAGCAACAGCGTGCAGAAAATCAACTTGGTTTTATACAAGAATCAAACTGGCCCACTAAGCACACCCACTAAGCACACATCACGACATAGTGCCACCACAAAGCTGTGGGCAGCGTCCCAGCACCTTAGCAGTTAGTCACTCCTTGCCCAAGGGGTGAGTTCCCCTGGAAATCGAGGGAATGAAATGTGGTGCACTTTGCTCACAGGTCACCTTATGAACGAGACAGATGTCCCACTGACATAATGGATTTGAGATTCTCCGCAACCAGGAAGAGTAGCATCAACAATTTCCTATCCCGAAAACGACTTGTACAGCATTTAGGCTGCGGCCGCCTGCACACTCACTTGCAGGGTCAGTTATGCAAAGTGTTGCACAACTGCTGAGGTAAAATGTTTTGTAAGCAATAAGTGTCAAGATACAACTCCAAACTTTTTTTCTTACATGATTAATGCTTCAATCACATTTCTAGGGTGGTGGTGATGGTTTCTTATGGCTGGGGGCCCAATCTGCTCTACAACAAAACAAAACAAACACTAAAAAGCAATCACAGAATGAACCCCCGTTCAGTGTGGAGAATACATTGCAGACCGAACTGCTACAGGTGATAATCTGAGTTATAAGAATGAAAGATTAAAAAAAAAAAAAAGTTTTCCAAACACTCTTTAAACACATTTAAAATCATTCAAACATACTTTTAATATATGCGCTACATTCAAGCGGATGCGTGTGAATGAGAATATTTGGCTGGTTAATGAGCATTAAATTCAATTGTAAAGCAGTCAGTCCATATACCATTCTAGCAACAAACAAAAGGGAGTTTGCAAACTGAGACTAATTAGCTTAGCGCTAGCCAAAATGAGATTAGCATAACACGATGAGGACAAATTTACAAAACTAAAACTTCCTGGGTTCTGCTGTTGGCCAGCGTATGGCGCGTGATCCTGGATATCAAAGTGAGCTAATTTAACTAAAAAGGAAAACCTTTCCATAGGTTGATACGCTGTGTCATTGTGCCAGTGTGACACGCTGACACATTTGCATAAGAGAAGAAAATATGACTTTGTAAAGGTATAATGAAGATAACATGCTGTATAGGTGAACTACATTTAGCATTTACCATTATAGTCAAATTGGATTTTTCATTATTTGGATTATGGCAGGTGGCTCAGTGGTCGACTGGTTAGCACGTCACAGTGCAGAGGTGCACGGTTCGATTCCGGCTTTGGCTTCAAAACTAATAACGAACGCAGGGTTTGGGTGCAAGTCTGAGCTCTAGCATATATTTTCAAATGTATTTGTTTCAGTCAGCAGGCTCCAACTATGTAACACTTTTATGAACAGCAATTTGTTTCAGTTGTGATCATTTTTTTAAAGCACTCTATGAATAAAACTGAGTTACTTTGAGTTGAGTCTTTTTGTGTTAGATGCAGTGGAATTGGACCCTCGACTTACGGACGACCCTTTTTACATTTTCCAATTACGCACAAAATAAAGCGGACGGATGCTATTCAACCATCATTGGCTCTGTGCGTAATTCAGTGCGGTAGTTGTGCTGTTTTTTTTTAAATTTTTCCTTGACTCTTAATTAGACCTCAGAATTACTTTAAGGTTACAGTTGGCTGTAAACACCCCAAAACACACATAAAACTCTATGTCTCCTCCGCGGCAGCAAATATAAAGCCAATTCCATTCATTTTAATGAGAACATTTCCAAACATTTGGATTTACAAACTGCATCATGGAACGAATTAAGTTCTTCAGTTGAAGTACCAGAATTTAGAGGCAGAGCCTGATGCGGTGGGGTAGGATGTGTGTCTGTGTCTGAACCCTCCATAATGTAAAAAAATTAATAAATAAAAAGAACCCTTTTTAACACAAAAACAATGGATCCTTGCCAAGAAATCATCAGATTTGAACTCACATTATTGGGTCAGGGTGTAAAAAAGAAAAAAATACTTCTTTTGAGTCTGAATAAATGTGGATAGAAGATGTTTTCAGAAGCACAATAACCTTTCAAGTCCAACGCTCTTGAGGTTGCAACATTCAAATATCCATCCATCCATCCATCCATTTTCTGATCCGCTTTGTCCTCACAAGGGTGGCGGGGGGTGCTGGAGCCTATCCCAGCCGTCTTTGGACAGTAGGCGGGGAACACCCTGAATCGGTTGCCAGCCAATAGCAGGGCACATAGAGACAAACAACAATCCACACTGACAATTTGGAGTGTTCAATCAGCCAGCCATGCATGTTTTTGGAATGTGGGAGGAAACCGGAGTACCCGAAGAAAACCCAGGCAGGCCAGGGGAGAACAAGCAAACTCCACACAGGGAGGCCGGAGCCGGAATTGAACTCTGCACCCTGCACTGTGAAGTTGACACACTAACCACTCGAACACCGGGCCGCCTATTCAAATTGCAACCAAAGAAAAAAGAAATCTGCCCCTAAAATAGCTTTAAAAAAAAAACAAAAGCTGTCTTGCATGATGAACCACACAAACGGGGCATCCAACAGTCTGGATGAACCGTGACATGGTTTTCTTCAACAACTAGGAGGCCTGGACATGAACATGACTCATCTAATAGAACTAATGGATGATTCATTGATTTACATAACACATTGCGAGGAAGAGGAGTTTACAGGAGTTTCTTCGGGATAGCTAACAAAGTCTGCTCGCAAGCATGCAAATACATCCAATGACCAGTATACAAACACTAACTAATAAAATTTGCCAAATTACAGTGGTGTGTGGGTGCATTTCATATGGGTTCTCAGGTGCACGATGTGGATGCTTGGTTCCCATTGGTTCCCATGTAACTTGAAACTTGCTGCTGAGATTTGTTTCCAAAGTCACACCAAACTCAAAACAGCTGTCATACATGAGATCATAGGGTACCTCTCGGGAGCTCGGTTCAGCCAGCAATCAAAGGGTGAACTTTGTGCGAGTGTTTGGTTTTCCTTTTGTGGCACTTGGCACCCAAAGAAGAAACGCTCGCAGTTAGACACAACCATGTGAGCTATCACTGGTTATCCAAGTTAGCCGTGAGTGTTTTCCCCATTTCAATTCTTTGTACACAGGTTTGTGTTTATGTTATAATAGTAATTGTAAGACTGTTACGATTATTTCTCTTAAAATATTGTTTGTGCAGTTAATACATTTTATAATAATATCTCCGTTCTGGCTTCTCAATAGACCGTTCGCGAAATCACCAACGAGCTGATTAGCTGGTGAGGGTTAGCTGCCAGTTAGCATTTGTTACCTGTTAGGTAGAGTGCGTGACCAACCGAAGATAAATGTTTAGGATATGTGTATTTTAAAGAAATTAGAGTTTCAACCTGGATGTAACAGTGAGTCAAAAACTTAATGAAATGTTTAAAGGTCAAGTGTGAAGTAATTATAGAAAATCCCAAATGAAAAATCTTCTGTCAGTAATTAAACAACATACTTTCAAATAAAGCATGAAAAATAATTTCTACATCGTAAATTCGACAAAGTCATTGTTGTCCCAAAGTGAGATCCTGACGAACGTCAAACGCGAAAGTGCGACGTCACTTCAAGCATTGCAATAGCAGGGCTCACTATGGAAATTGTACAAAGCCAGTCGGAAATCAATTAGGAAAGCGATGAATCCAGGAGTTTGAAGAGATGGAGGAAGAGAAGGTTTTTGGCAAGATATACAGGTACGTTGGACCATACAGGTATGAGCCAGATGCTCAGGATGCGGAAAAAATTGTGCCCGAAGGGCCAAACAGAGTGGAGACGAGCCACATGGGGAATGGAAGAATGGTAAGTTATATAGGCTGCGATTACAGTTTTAGCCTAGCGTTATTGCTCGCAATTTGATGCTGTGCCGCGTTGTAAATTGCGCACGATGGGATTACCTACTGCATGTATTCCGCTAGCACTGAGAGCACACGTCATCGTGGGTTGTTGTCCTACATTTTCGTTGTTTAGCGCGTTGCTATGGGTCTAACTATGACACCGGGTGGGTTGCAGTAAAAAAAAAAACAAATGAAAGTACTGTATACTTGAAATAGTTTTATCCCAAAGTATTACTCAAAAGATGGTGAATAAACAAGTTTACTTCACACTTGACTTTTCATAGGAAGGCAATAATTAGGAAGGCATCGGAAGGCATTTTTACGGGTTGCAAAGCAGCAACAGAAATGCTTGCATCCTTCCAATTCTGGTGCAGATATTCAAAATCAAATAATTTGTAATCCAGTGGTGTCAAACTCATTTTTGGCGGGGGCCACATTTTAGTTACCGTCTCACTTGGAGGGCCGTTATGACTGAAACCATATGGAGAAGTCAAGAATAACTGTTGATTCAAATATTGTTTAAGTGACTATCATGAGGTGTTTGGTCACAAGAACATGCTTAGAATATATCTCTTAATTTTTATACGTGAGAATTAAAAATGTTGGTAGACATTTTAGGAAGGATCATGGAAGTTGACATGTTTGAGCTGCTTTCACGGGCCACATAAAATGATGTGGCGGGCCAGATCTAGCCCCCGGGCCTTGAGTTTGACACCTGCGTTGTAAGCCATCTATTCTCAAAGATAAAGTAAAATGAGTATGTCATGATATTCAAGTGTGTAGTTTGTCGTCAGTTTGACCCTTCCACATATTTCTTTCCATTAACATGATTGACATGACACAGGAAGTCAACTGGCATTTATCCAATATTGTCTTTTCACTCGAAGTGGCTTATATACAGAAATAAAATCTGTTTCGTTGGTCAACATTTTATACCTGCTCAAAATGACAGTTATCTCTTGTACTCACCCGGTATCTCGTCGTCTTCATCATCATCATCGCCGTCGTCCTCCGCATCCTCGTCAGTGATGTAGCAGATTTCTGGCAGGCCTCTGGACCCATTCGGCTGCTGCTGCTGCTCCTCTTCATCGGACATCCTGTTGTGTTACCTCAGCATCGCCGCGAGATGCCTGAAAGAAGGCAGCGTAGGATTGGCCGTCTCTTTGTATCCATCCATCTATTTATCAAAGATGATGAACAGTTTTTGGGCGCACGAGCTGCCTAGTGATTGGGCGCAGATGAGACAATAATGGAGGCAAGGTGCTCTCAAGAGTTTCTCGGGCACTTTAAAAGCTCTCTCGGCTGAAGGATAATGACTCTCTTAGGTTTTTCTCAATAATGTGGTCGTAATCTTTGTTGGACAGCCTCGATGACAATGCTGATACACAGATATAAAAAAAAAAAAAAAAAACACTATTCCGGGGCACTCAAGAAGACTATATACCGAGGAACATAACACTCTACTGTCTAATGTGATTTTTTTTTTTAGCCGCAACGGTGGCAATGAACATATCTGTCTGATCTTCATCATAAAATGTCCCGAGTGAAACAATATTTCAACCGCAGAAATTTTTCAGGTCGGGTCATGTTTGTGTGGCTGCTTGGTGTTTCTTAAAAGTCAAGATGTCTGATGAAACATCTGATTAAAAAAAAAAAAAAAAAAAACCTAACAAAAATATACATTGAGCTTTTGGCTTTCTGCCTTCATTTTGTGAATGCAAGACAAAAAAAAGAGACTTTGGCCCAGCACTTTCAGTGCCTTGAAAGTTGAAAAGAGTGAGAAAAATTCAACCAATTTAGTATGCATCTCCAACTTCTTGAGTGACAGCCAACAACATCATACACTGGAAGAGGAATTCCCCCATTGCGGGAATACTAAATGCTTCTTTTATCTATTGCAGTTATGCTAGCAAAAAAAGGAGCAAGTTTAAAAAAAAAAAAAAACCCTTCCACCGAAATGGAGGACAAAAACAAAGCATGATTACCTGCCAGCATACCTTTCATAACATTACACAACCAATTACATAACTGTAAATGTCACAGATTTTTGTTTTTCACCATCCTCATGAATCCAAACAAACTACACATTCCAGATCGGTTTGAATGGAATGGATTGATGATAGGACAATGCTTTTATATCATGTAATTGTCTCGCGTGGGGAAGGTGTACAATATCTGGAACAATGGTGTTGTCATTCGACAAATGAAAATCCCAGGCTGAACCAAATGTGCGCAACACTGTGGGTTTGTGGTGGAGCTTTTCCTATGTGTGTGTTGTGGACGAGTAGTCAGACTTCCCCCACATATTCCCCCCAAAAAAATGCAGTTTCAGTGAATGATCTCGTCTCAACGGTCCACAGTTGTTAATGTGAATGATCATTTATCTCTTTATCTTGTTTTATGTTGAGAGGGAAGAAATTTCATCTGTGCTGTATGTTACACATACGTACAGCACATTTGACAATAAAGTTGTAATCAATTCAATTCAATTCAATTCAATCTCCACACAGACCCGTTCCCAAGGGTGAGCGACAGGCCGCCACGCCCGCCCACCAAGAGGCTCGTGCACTGCCCCGAAATAAACACACTTGAGGCAATGATCTCTAAAAATAATGTTTTTTTTCAAATGAACTTTTTATTTAATTTTATCACTGAAGCTATTTTTGGTTAGGGAAATGTTAATGTTGAGTTGTTTATCACCAAGATGTGAAAAATATAAACAAATAATGCTGCGATTTTGTATGATTGATGGCCGATCTTATCTGCAACAGCCAATCACAGTCTTACTGAAAATAATGGTTAGCGCACGGGCTTTTATATACTATAATATGTATTTGAGAGTGTAGCATTGGGGAATATGGCATGACATGTCCGTAAAATATGTATGATTTGTAAAGAATGAGCGATATGGCAGACTCTCACATGTGGATGTCTAAAACTCAAAATTGTCCCTTTGGTGTGAGTGTGAGTGTGGATGGTTGTTTGTCTCTCTGTGCCCTGGCAACCGGTTCAGGGTGTCCCCCGCCTACTGCCCGAAGAAGGCTGGGATAGGCTCCAGAACCCCCGTGTGAGGATAAAGCAGTTCGGAAATGGATGGATGGATGGATCAAAAATATACTTAGAGGCATATAAATACATCTCTGATTTAATTTTGCCATTGATCATATGAGTGTGAATGAATAAAATTTAACATTGCAACTTTCTTTTGTTTCTCTTCGGCCCCCCGCCCAAATTTGTTGCAGGCTAATAAAAAACAATCTACACGCCAAAAAATGGCCCTCAGCCCAGACATTGGAGACTGCTGACTTAAACAAACAAAAATACTGTTATGCAATCCTGTTTGACTCTCCATGAATGATCACGTCACACCCAATAACCAATCACAATTCTATATTTAGCACAAACAAGAAAAAGGGGACAACTCGATGGCCAATTGCCTTATACCAGAGTAGTATGCAACGCATCCGTTTGTTTTTCCTGGGGTGGTTAATGTCATAAAATGCCGAATTCTACGATGAAATGTTTGCACCGCACATGTGGAAATGTACTCAGACGATGAAAGCAAAGTGGAGAAAACATTCATCATGTCATCATGCCCCATTTACATCTCAGTTCATGCACCCGACTGTGAAGCAAAATAAGTGCTCGTTTTTCTTTTGACTTCAAACCACAAATGTTCTGAAGTCAAATCAGCGCACGGAGTGACACACAACGGCAAAATAAGAACGTTCTTTTCGACGTTAGGCACTTTAGCTTACAGATGTTTCCTCCTAATTTTGTGCGGAGAGGCCTTTTCTGTCCAGTGGTCACAACGTTTGGCAACAGAATGAGTCAGTATCTGTCTTGTGTCCTATTAAAGGTTCTTCCGGATGATCGGAGAGAGAGCATAGATACCAGAGCTTATATCAGAGCTAGCATCAACACTAGCATTAGCTTGTGTCAATAAGTGGCTAAAAGAGGAAAATAAATTAAAAGGGAAGGTGAGCCGAACGTGTTTATCATAGAACCACACTAAAATGCTAATCAAATGGTCATGGCCTGTATTGTAACAATTACATTTATCCAATAACATTTTCCTGACAAAGCTTCTCCACCTCCATTTGGTGTTGGCTCCACCAAAAAAAAAAAAAAAAAAAAAGGAACTTTGTAGCGACTGTGCTGCCATTGCTACAGGATAAGAAGCGCCGTGAGGAAGAACACGCACAAGACTTTAAATCATCTTTATGTGTTCTTATGTAACATAAGATGGCAGGGAGAGGCGGCACATAATTACGGCTGGGAAAGTTTTGAAGAAAAGGTCGACAACATGCATGTGCATATTTGTCATGCTGTAACGTCATCAAAATTCATTCTGAGTCTCATGAATCAATCGGTGTGGGAAATGCCAGTATGTTGTCTGAGACCTTGTTTTTCTTTGGCGTTTTGGTAACTTAACCCAAAAGAAGAAAATGAATCTGGAGCAGAAGTTTTGCCAAGTTAGTGGACTGACATTTCAAGTAAGAGTATTGCGTTTACAATTTACATTTGGATGACTACAGTATTGAGAATCTTGTGGAGTGTGTTGCCTTATTATGCAGCATTGACATAAACAAAACAGTCTTTTATTGTTTTTACATTTTAATAATCAGCAGTGGTGCTCTGCAATTGGCTGTCGACCAGTCCAATATGCACTTTGCCTCTCACCCCAAATCAGCTCTGGCATATATTAGACTCCCTCAAACAGTATAGAAAAAAGGATGACTATCAGTAATGGTTGCCGGTACCTTAATTTCACACGGTTATGAACATTACACTGTAATTTTAAATGACTAGTAAACATTTTAGAGCGTGTGCGTGTGGGAGGTGGAAGAGTTCAGCTTGATATGACAGGCGTCTTTCAAACAGCCAGTCCCAATTTATGTTGGGTCTTAAACCGTTAACCCCTCAACCCCCACCACCACTTTTTTTTTTCTTTTTGTAAAAAAAAAAAAAAAACAAGAACAGCAACTCAATTCACACTAATCTTGAAAGGCATGAACAGACATTCACATACTGTTAGACAAAGTCCAACAATGTCCGAGCCAATCAGAGCGGAAAGAGAAGTCATTTCTGGAAAACCCATAAAATGAAAACAAAATCAAATAACCGACTATCCACTCATTTTGTCGAGCATTTGTCCTCGTTGGGATTATAGGGGAGCTGGAGCCTCCCCCCAGCTGACTTTAGGCAGAGAGGTGGGAGTTGAATTGGTAAGCAGCCAATCGCATATGAACAACCGTTCACACTCACATTCATAACTATGGAAGAGCTGGAATCGCCAATGAACCTAACATGAATGGTTTTGGGAGGAAGGCAGCATCCCAAGGGAGAACATGCAAACTCCACACAAGAAGGTCTGAGCTGAGTGTAAAACCCAGGACTTCGTGACTGTGAGCCAGATGTGCTCACCACAAGGGCACCGTGCTGCTGGGAAGCTTCACTAATGGGCACTTGCCCTGGTGGTGGGATAAAGGAAGTTTTCTGAACCATCTGAATTAGGTCTTCTGAGGACTTGAGGGTGTAGCCCGAGTTTTGTGGGGTCAGAGAGTAATTTAATATGGATGAGATCACGACTACAGGGCTTTAAGATTAAGAGGTGTGGGGGTGGGGTTTTGATGGAGACAGTGGTGAGGGAGGGAGGGAGGGACACTCTGATCTGTCTGTCTGCTGGCCTAAAAAAAACCAACAAAAAAAAAAAAACACGCTGCCATGGGAAAGTGGGGGAGGTGCTAGAGTGGACCACAAATAGATGGCTTTTATTCAACAGTACGAGGCGACAATGACAGCTGACTTTATGATGAAAAGTTGGGTTGAGGCCGTAAAAATCCAATTTGGCCAACAATGTAACTACTATACAATACATGAGTCCAAATTAGTTTGTACAATGAGCGATAATTGAAATCAATGTTGATTAGACTGCCCTCCAGAAGATATATGAAGTGAAACAATAACAACAAATAGCTAGCTTTCTCATTAAGAATGATCAAGTGTAATAATTAGGAGCGAACTAATTTCTACTTTTTATAAACTTTGAGGAGGCATATTCTCTTTTATTCTCACTAGGGAGAAAGTGCAATACATTGTTAGGTTGGTGCTGCCGAAGTGATTGACA